CACGATTGAATTTTTCCCCGTGAGTGTGAGTGAGCGTGAAAATTTTTGTCGTGAACGTGAGTGAGCGTGAATGAAAATTGTTTAATTTACCGACACTAGTCTATTGATAGCAATTGTGTGACAACTGATCCCAACTTTAAGACTGTTGTGAATAACATAACGAAAGGAAACGATAAAGTCTTCAATGAATATGTTTTATCAAAATTAAAACAATAATAAAATGATTTATTAATAAATAATAAGACATGCAAAAATAAAAATGTCTAACAACTTGCAAAATAACTTGTTTGATTTAAATTAAATAAAAAATATGTCGCTGATATTTATCCTGATCATTTAAACAATTATCTTATTTATATGTTTTTAATGTTTTATAATTTTTTTGGATTAATTTGTAATATTTTTAGTTTTTTAGTTTTAATGAATGCAATACAATTTATAATAGATTATAATACCATTTAGTTGTCGTAATATTAATAATATGGTTAAATATAATATCAATTAATGTATGAATGAGTTTGTAATTTAATTCAAGTAATGTAATGTAAGTTAAATTATACTGTAGTAACAAATCAGCGACATATTACTGATTAAAAAAATATATCGTATATTAAAACAAAATTTTTTACAATATAAAATTACAGTTTATAACAATGTCTCGGTAATCATTGGTTACATTTATCATGTTAAAATATTTTCATATAATAATTAATATAATTATTAATTATTAAATTAATTAGTAATTACAAATTTAACGTGGTAATCATTAAAATATTACTAATTTACATACTAAAATTAATGCCTGGATCTGGTGATTCCCTTAAATAAACTCTACTCATCATCATTTATATTAGTTATTTTACATTACTGCAAAGTTACAATTTGTTATTATTTTAATTTCTAATACCAGATAATAGATTCCTTATATTAAAATATTTATTTCAATTATATTGAATGTTATGTAAGTGTTAGCTAATTATATAATCATATAAACACAAACTGTAAATTTCTATTTAAAAATATTTTAGTTTAAATAAGCAAAGTGTTTTTCTATAACAATTAATATATCGGTGATTTGTTAGTAAACTTTATATTTCAATATTTGTTCATAGTTGTTTAATACTTTAATTATGACTATTTAATTCAATTTATACATAATAATTAAGCAAAACAGCCTTATCTGTATAATAATGTTGACAATTTATTTAATAATAGCATTTAAAAACAAAAAAAAATTACAAAATAGAAAATACAAAAAAAGTATAAAATAATTAAAACACATAAAAATGATAAAATGTTTAAATAAACTATAGTCTGATTGTATTAATGTTCATCATAAATGGCATGTGTTGGATTATAACATCAATATAATTTATAATTTGCTTATTTGCTTGGTTAAAATAATTACTTTAAATTTTTACTTTAAAAATAATAGTAAGTTATTTCCCATTAATAATTTTCAACACACCTGCAACAATTATTGTTCAAGGTATTTGTACTTGTACCTATTGTAAAGTGCATTATGTGCTATCAAGTTCACATTTACTTAATAACACAAAGCAATAGGCAACAGGGTATAAATAAGCGTAACAAACTTGTTTCTGTTAAGTTTAACTAGCAAAAATAACAATAGTTAGTACAATTGCATAGGTATAAAATAAATTAATAATAGTATTTATAATAAATTTTAATCAAGTTAATTAAAAATATACATAATGAATTATTTGACTGTTTTATTTTGTGCTAATTTTATCATTGCATTTCATCATGTTACTTCTAGCGGTAATTATTATTCACTTATTAATTAATACAAAAATCAAATTTTAAAACAAATGTTGCTATGCTGTATTTAATACAAATAAACTCTATTTATAACTAAACAGCTCATGGAATACATGGTAAAATAAACAACGAAAATGGGTTACCAAAAGTTGGCGAAAAATATGGTAATTTGCAAATAAATATTCTTTAGTTCAATTAATTTAAAAATATTTTACCATGGCCAATATATTTTATTTTCTAGCTGTTACGCCGTTTAGGATAACAAGCCTCACTATTGACTATGTATTAAAATGTACTGGGTCAAACGTACAATTCTTACAGCTCACTAATTTGACATTTCCCGTCGAATTCACGTGCAATGGCTACCAATCATTACAACATGGGATGGCATATGACATTGTAGTAGATAATAAAGTAGAACAGTTGACATTCAACAAAATAGCCGTATATTTATCATATTTGAATGGTAAGTTAAAAGTTATGTTACATTACTGTTCAAGGTTACAATAAATTAATTAATTTTATATTGCAACATGCTAGTTTCGTAAAGCTATATTATGATTTATTATATCAATATAAAGTAATATGCAATTATTAATTAATAAATATTATGTAAAATAAATATTATATTATACAGTATTAAAACAATATAAAACTTATAATGTTACATACTACTTTATTTAAATCTAGGTAATTTTGATGAGATAAACACAGGCACAGTGTCCGTCGGCCGGTGCGCTGGCGATACCCTATTCCTGTCCAACGCCTTTGTGGCCAACGATCAGGACGGGTGCGCCGGAGCCAAAGGCGTGGCCGCACTAACCGCACGCTATATCTCCGCCCGACTGACCGGACCCAAGTGCGGCACCACTATTTGTACAATGGAGAGTGGCCATGTTACATTGAACCCACCAGTTCGTAATAATTGAATAATCTGTGAAAACTGATGTAGATGTTTTTGACTTTACTGATTGTATCTGCTTAGTAAATAACAAATAAAAATAATGTATTGGATTTATAAAATTCTCATTGTAATAGCGGCGCCTAACTTACACCAAGTGTACAATTTTTGTACATATATTTTTACGTAAAAAACTTCCCAGATTTAAAAATAAAAGGTTTTTTATTAGACATTATTATAATAACAGTTTGCTGACATATCCCATTAATAATAATAGTTTAATTTATTAAAATTAATTTATTATAATTAATCATTACTGGTAATAATCATATAAATGTTTTATTGTTCGAGAGTAAATACATAATTTAATAAATTTTCAAAAATATTAGTAATTTACATGCTTAGTAATCATTGATTACAAAAAATCAAAGCATAACAAAAATTACTTTTCGAAACCCCAGATATCGTTGGGTGAATCTATTGGCCAACTTATAAACTCCGGTGATTTCATGAATGCCTTAATCGCCGGTAAACTCTCAAAACGAGTTAAGAATTGAATTAAATTCTGGTACTTATCAACAGTACCGGCGCTGAAGAGACGGAACCAATCCAAGAGCTCATACGCCAAGAAGTCTACATAATTAATGTGATTACCGGTAAACCACTGACGGGTACCCAAAAACCGGGACAAAGGATTCAACTGTTTAGGCAATGTTTCGGCGATATATTTAACTTTTTCGTTAACGTATTCATTATTAAACAACAAGTCTATCTCATAGCCGGCGCCGGGATATAGTACTCCCCAAAAACCATTTCTAATATCAGTCAACTGTTGCTCCAACACGTCCTGTCGTGTGAGTCCGGTCTCGTCGGTGGCCACCAGTCCGTGCTTTCGGGCCAAGTGTCGCATAATAGCCATACTATGTGTCAGTTTGATAGAGCCCTCCACATAGTAGGGAACATCGGGAAAGTCAAAGCCCAGGGTGAATTTTTGCTTATGCCACTCAACCCTATACGACTCCGGGGTGTCAGCGCCCGGTGGGTCATAATATTTGTCGATGAATTTCACGCCTTTATACGCCAGCAATAGGCGTATGGGTTGAGCCCTACCACGCATTTTGAAATAGCCAACTGTGGGCACAGTTGTGTCGGACATGTTGTATAAACAGTATAATGCAGTTTAATATTAATCTACTTTTATTTAACACTGTTATATTTATAACAAACCATAAAATAATAAATTGTTATTTACAATAAAATTGTGTTTTTATACTGTGTCTCGGCTATAATGTCAATAATTTTGTAACTGTATGTGTAATTTTGTACTCCATTAATAATTTACAATTACTTTATCTAATCTTGATGAATTTATAGTACCGTATTACGCCGCATATAGGTGCATGCACTTATATGTGAGTTTTTACACAAGGGGTGCACCTATATGCGGATATAGGTGCGGTAGTTTTTTAAAACAATTTTCACATTTTAGTTAAAATTTTAAAATAAAAATAATAGAATCTATAATTAGACTTTTAACACTAAAACGCGTCTAAATGTTTGAAATAAATGTGTATTTTCTTGAAAATTAGTGAGCTTTATAAAGATTGAGTACATTAGTGTAAAATGTCTCAAACAATGGACATGTCTTCAAGTGATCTATCAATTCTAATAATCAACTTGATCAGATAAATGAAATATTTATATATTTGCTTTAATTTTTAATGAATGTATAATTTACTCATAATCTTATTAACTTTTTATAAATAATTTTGAGAGATAAATTTTAGTGCACCTATATGTGATTTTTACACAAGGGGTGCACTTATATCCGGATTAGTGTCGGTAAATTGGACAATTTTCATTCACGCTCACTCACGTTCACGGCAAAAATTTTCACGCTCACTCACACTCACGGGGAAAAGTTCAATCGTGAATCACACTCACTCACGGTGTCTGTAAAACTTTTCACGTT